TTAATCCTAAAAAGTGGACATCCCTTAAACTCAAAGAAAAACCTTTAACGAAAAATACAATATTTGTGGTTCAATTTTTCAACAAAACCACGTGAAATTATTGAATATGATATTTTTCTTATGGATTACAATTAATTAGGTAATTGGAGAGGATGAAAATGTAGAGGGGCACAGTAATTGATAGGCCACTCCACCTAATAATAGTTTGTCTGTTAACCTCTCTCTATCACTTTTCTTACCTTTTCCAAAATAATATTCTATTTTATCTCCCCAATCTTTGAAAAATCAACTTCCTGCAAGCCAAACACCCTATTCCTTCCCTGTGACTTAATTAGTCAGAAATTTGAGGTGTTCATCTTTGATTTTGAGTTTTAGTACGTACGTATATGATATAGGTAGCAGAGCCATCATGTTGACATGGTGGTCAATTGATCCACATGAATTTTTTTAAAACCATGTAATTTATATTGAGTGTTTTAAGGTGACCCTTATCCAAAACACCTATTGACTCCGGTAAATTGTTTTTCTGGTTTCGCCAGTGCGTATATCATTGATTTTGTCACGGTAATACTACAAAATAAATGTCAAGGATGATCTTTTTCGCCTTTTTAGCGTTCTAGTTCTGATAATTAATATTGTCAACAACATATCATATAGTTGCACCATAATACTTCTTTCTCTTTTGGTGGGTGTGGCAACCTCATACGATAAAACTTATAAATTATAAATTATAATAACCAAAGTCAGAGCATAAAATCGTCAAGTTGTCTATTTTAAGTTATTAACGGTTCATTTAGCGGCGGTATTCAAGTTTCAACTTTCAAGGTTTGGTTAAGTATAATGACAATATATTTGCTGGAGCAAAGTAGTTGTGAACAAGATATACCCTATTTGAAATAAATGTTGGAGACTTTTCTAATTAAAATACAAATTTACATAAGAAAAAATGAAGTGAAAGGCTGAGAATGTCGTCTTTGCATGCATGGAAGGTCAGCTGCTTCTGCCTAACTCATCCTCTCCTCCCAAACAATGACCTCTCTGCCCCCACATTCTCTCGATCAATTCGTTTATGTTCACAAATTATTTACATTTGTATACCATAAACTTAGGTTTATTGATATATATCTACATAACATTAATGTATCGTATAACTCTATAATTATGAGAATGTACAGTACAATTAATTATTCTCTCGGCAATTTATCATATGTATCAGATCATCAACACAAATTATTCCAAACTTTTAGGCCAAACCAAAATAGATCTGATACAAAATTGGTCTAATCGATCTGATTACACCATCATATAAAAGAAACGTGATAGGAATCCCATATGAGAACTAAGCCCGATTGAACCTAATTACATACATGGTTTAATTTATGTATGAAATGATTGGACCAATTTGCGCATATTTTATTAAACTAGTATCACCACGTATATTACTTTAATTGTAGCATTTTATTTTCACTATTACATTTTTAACAAAATCAATTTAATAATGTATATTACATATCTGGCAATTTTGATATGGTGGCTAGTTATATACTAAGTTAATTAATAAAACATGCGCAAATTTAAACGTGTTCTACTGACAACCCTAGGTTTTTCCAACGACAATATGTATAAGGCAGCTAATACAGATTTTTTTTTTTTGTATGTATATATATACAGGAAAATGTGCAGAAAAAAGGGGAAATGAAAACATGAATTTGGTAGAGGTGGCATAATTAAGGTTCATGAATGAGTGTAAATTTGAGGATTAGGAACACTTTTCTCCCTTGTAAAAAATAATAATAGTATACCAACCCTCTATAAAGCCCTCAGTCTCTTGTATGTTTTCTTGACACACAACTCCAAAACACAAGAAACTTAAAAGTAGACACAAAGAGAATGGAGTACAATATGCAGATGAGAAGTTGGTTAATAGTGTTGTTAATTTCGATGATGATAATGATGGGAGACCAAGCCCATGCCCAGCTCACCAGTGACTTCTACCGGGAAAGCTGTCCTTCACTATTCCCTGCGGTGAGACGGGTGGTGCAACAGGCCGTAGCCAGAGAGCGTCGCATGGCTGCTTCTCTCCTCCGTCTCTTCTTCCACGACTGTTTCGTCAACGTAAGTATCTTCTTTTTCCTTTACTTGAATTAAAAAAAAAAAGCGTGATTGGCATGTTCCCGTGAATTACTCCAAAAATTTAGAAAATGTTAAAAGATAAGTTGGTCTAAAATGTTTTAATGACAGGGTTGTGACGGATCAATATTGCTGGACGACACATCCTCTTTTGTTGGAGAGAAAACCGCAGGACCTAACAATAACTCAGTGAGGGGATTCGAAGTGATCGATAGAATCAAGTCGAGGGTTGAGAGATTGTGTCCAGGAGTCGTCTCATGTGCAGACATTCTTGCCATCACTGCTCGTGATTCCGTCCGCCTGGTTAGCACTTCTCTTTATATATGCCTTTACTCTTTCATACATATATGGCCNTTTTTAACATGCAACTAGCATATTCGGTCCCCATTTTGTTTGAAAACAATATATATTACTTTATTCTCTTAAAAAGTATTTGTAGAAATTGATCCCTTATATTTTTAGAAAAAATATACATTTTTTTTTAACGAACACATCACAC